CGTTGGAAGTCACACCTTTGAATTCTATTGAGGTACCTACCAGTCCTCCTTTGTCTATGGTTATACCCCCTCAGTATTTATCTCTAAAGACTGTTTTCGATAAAAGGGAGGCTGAGAAATTACAGCCTCACAGACCCTATGATTGCGCTATTGACTTGTTGCCTGGCACTATACCTCCAAAGGGCAGGGTGTACCCCTTATCGGTTCAAGAAAACCGTGTCATGGAGGAGTACATCAAGGAATCATTAGAAAAAGAGTTTATTAGGAGATCCTCTTCTCCAGCTGGAGCAGGGTTCTTCTTTGTATCAAAGAAAGAAGGTGATTTAAGACCGTGTATAGATTATAGAGGTCTAAACAAAATCACTATAAAAAATGCATACCCTATACCTTTGATTACAGAATTATTTGACAGGCTGAAACATGCCACTGTGTTCACTAAATTAGACCTTAGGAATGCATACAGTTTGATACGTATAAAGGAAAATCACGAATGGAAGACTGCATTCAACACTAGATCCGGTCATTACGAATACACTGTTATGCCATTTGGGCTTTGCAATGCCCAGCAGTATTCCAAGAATTTATTAATGATGTATTGAGAGATTTTATTCACACATTTGTTATCGTATACTTGGACGACATTTTAATATATTCTGCAGATATACACACTCATCACAGACATGTTACGACAGTTTTGAAGACCCTTCTTGCTAATGGTCTTTATTGCAAGCTAGAAAAATGTCTATTTGACCAAACCGAAGTCCAGTTCTTGGGGTATTTGATTTCCGCTAAAGGTTTTCGTATGGATCCCCAGAAGCTTGCTGCTGTAATAGAATGGCCTCTACCGCAAGGTCTGAAAGCTATTCAGCGTTTTCTTGGGTTCTCCAATTATTATAGGCGTTTTATCAAAGGTTTCTCGTCCATTGTAGCACCTATCACTCGTATGACTAAAAAGGATGGCAATACTCGTGTTTGGTCTACCGAGGCACTTCAGGCTTTTGAATTTCTTAAAACTACGTTCGCCTCTGCACCTATTTTACAGCATCCTGTCCCCTCACTGCCTATATTCTTGAAGTTGATGCTTCGGATATTGGGGTAGGTGCTGTCTTATCCCAAAGAGAGTCGCCTGAAAAGCCATTGCATCCATGCGGCTTCTTTTCTAAACAAATGTCCAAAGCAGAGAAAAATTATGATGTGGGTAATCGTGAACTCCTTGCTATTATTTTAGCAATTAAAGAGTGGAGACATTTGTTAGAGGGAACTAAGGATCCTATCCTCATTTTTACGGATCACAAGAACCTATCCTATCTTAGCGAAGCCAAAAGATTGTCTTCCAGGCAGGCTAGGTGGTCACTATTTTTGTCTCGTTTCAATTTTATTATCACCTATAGGCCAGGTGATCGCAACACTAATGCAGACGCTCTGTCCAGACAGTTCGAAACTACTGACAAACAGGAGATTGATGTTACTCCTGTCATTTCCCCAGACAGGATAATAGCTACTACTATTTTGTCTATTTCCTCGTCCCTCTTGCAGACCATACAAGCGAAACAAAGCATGGCACCTAGCGAGAGGCCTAATGATAAACTGTTCGTTGATGTTCCTGAGAGACAGGATATTATGTCATTATATCATGATACTAAGACCGCTGGACATCCTGGTATTTCCAAAACGGTGTCAGCTGTTTCTCGGTATTTTTGGTGGGATTCCTTACGAGAGGATGTCACTGACTATATAAGTGCTTGTACTACTTGTGCCTGTATGAAATCCTCCCGTAGAGTTCCTTGTGGGCTGTTGCATCCGTTACCCGTTCCCGAGAGACCTTGGTCTAACCTGTCCATGGATTTTATTGTTGAATTACCCCCTTCAAATGGTAACACGGTAATCCTGATGATAGTGGATCGGTTTTCCAAAATGGCTCACTTCGTGTCTCTTCACAAGTTGCCCACATCCAAGGAACTGGCTCATATCTTCGCTAGAGAAGTATTTTGATTACATGGGATTCCCGTATCTATTGTATCCGATAGGGGTAGCCAATTTATTTCCAGGTTCTGGAGGGCCTTTTGTTCAGAAATGGGTATTTCTCTCTCATTTTCTTCCGCTTATCATCCCCAGTCTAATGGGGCTGCTGAACATGCCAACCAGTCTCTGGAGCAATACCTCCGTTGTTTTGTGTCTCACCATCAGGACAATTGGTCTGACCTGCTTCCTTGGGCTGAATTTGCTCGGAATAGCGCCACTCATGATTCTTCCGGCAAGAGCCCTTTTTACGTTGTCTATGGCCAGCATCCCGTTGTTCTTCCGGCTGCATTCTCCTCACAGGGCATGCCAGTTCTGGATGAGCATTTGGCTGGTTTGCGTATTACTTGGGAGCAGGTTCAGCGTTCTTTGGTGGACTCTGCTACTCGCCAGAAGGCTCAGGCTGACAAGCATCGCAGAGCAGCTCCGTCCTATGTTGTGGGGGACAGGGTTTTGCTTTCCACGCGGAATATTCGTCTCCGGGTGCCTTCTATGAAATTGGCTCCCAGCTTCATTGGACCTTATCGTATTATACATAAGGTTAATCCTGTTTCTTATGCCTTAGGCCTGCCTAAGAATCTACGTATTCCTAATGTTTTTCACACCTCATTGTTGAAACCTTTCGTACGCAACCGCTATACCCGGCATACTCCTCCTCCCCCTCCTATCTCGGTGGAGGGTCATGAGGAGTTTGAAGTGTCTACTGTTCTTGACTCTCGTTTCCTTAGGGGTCGACTTCAGTACTTGGTACATTGGAAGGGTTATGGGCCTGAGGAGCACAGTTGGATTTCGGCCGATGCTGTCCATGCTCCCCGTCTTGTGCGCTCTTTCCATTCACGTTTTCCTGCCAGGCCTGGTCCTACCCGCCCGGGGGGCGTGTCCTCAGGGGGGGGTACTGTAGCGTTACTTACCTTAACCGGGGGCCGGTCGCAGTCCTCTCTTCAAGCCGCGCGCGGTCCTGCGGCTGCACGAGCCGCGCCTGGCTCATCCAACTACTTCGGATGGAGGGCGGGCAGTGACCGCGTGAGGCGGTCACGTGTCCCGCCTGAAACTAAGTGCGCGCCGCGAGTCTCGGGCGCGCTCTTAAAGGGACAGTGGGTGCCTAAATTGGAAAAGGCATCCCATTGGTCCCTGTCATGCCACACTCCCCATACACTTACCTTTTGGGGGCGTGGATGTGACAGGGACCAATCAAATTAGATATTTAGGTATTTATACTCACCTTCTTCCCTTTGTTCCTTGCCCTATCGTGGTTTCTGTTTCAGTTCCCTTTAGCGCTTGTGGTGTTCAGTTGTGTTTTCACGTATTGACTTTGGCTTCGTATTCTGACTTCGTTTTCGCTTTATCCTTATCTGTACTGTTTGCCGGCTTGCTGTTTTCCGTGTACCAGACCCCGGCTTGTCCTAGTTTACGCTGTCTCTCTGTGCCCTTGACCTCGGTTTGTTCCTGGCTCTGTCTTCTCTCATATACGTCAAGTCCGGCCATTCTAAGGTCCGGTAGACGTATCTCTCCTCTGTATTTGCCTCTGTTTAGCTGGATCCTGCGTGTAGGGGTATATTCTCGTTACAGGACAGCAGACACTGCATCAAAATCTGCATTATGTGAACTGCCTTTGGAGAAGAAAAATTAGTTTGGTTCTCCTCTAGAAGAGTTAATCCGACAGATGTCGGAAACCAAGAAGACCTTGCCTCAAGACAGGAAATATGCCTGGAAACCCAGGTATAGAAATTTCCAGTTCAAAAACCGTAGGGGCGTTCAAGAAAAACCCAGGTTTTTTCTTCAACAAAGGAAAAATCCAAGATTTGACACACAAAAATACAATAAGTCTGACAGAAACAAACTTTTCTGATGCCAGAGTGGGCGGAAGATTGCAAGGTTTTTTTCACAGCTGGAGGGAGACCACTTCAAATCCATGGATTTTGAGTCTGCTGCAAAAAGGATACCGAATAAAATTCTGAGCTGTTCCAAGACCAAGTTTCCTTGTCTCCTCCTACCGGTCAAAGTTAAAAAAACCAAGCCCTTTTTTTCTGCCACGGTCTCCCTATTAAGAAAACGTGTGGTTGAAAGGATTCCAACTTCCCAAGTATATTAGGGTGTATACTCCCGGTTGTTCCTAGTCCCAAAACCGGACATGTCTTTTCATCCAATCTTGGATCTAAAAAACCTGAACAAGCTCATTCCTTACCAACATTTCAGAATGGAGACTATAGCGTCTGTCACTCATATCCTTCGAAAAGGAGATTTCATGGCTACTTTAGATCTAAAGGATGCCTATCTGCATATTCCTATGGATGTGAAGTCAAGAAAATACCTGAGGTTTGCTATAAGGAAAGAAAAATGTCCATCATTTCCAATTCAGCGCCATTCAAGCTAGCTTCAGCACCCAGGATTTTTAGGTCCTCAAACCTGTCACAGCTTTTTTGAGGATGCAAGGAATCACAGTAGTACCTTACTTGGACGACTAGTTAATAAAGGCAGATTCAAGAGGCGCTCTAGAATCAGATGTGGCCTATAAACTAGAAATCCTGGACAAACATGATTGGATTATCAACCTAGAAAACTTATACCTTACCCCTACGAGGTCTATCCTGTTTCTAGGGTTTTTGACCAAGACAGACACTGTAGGTTCATCTGACAAGAGAAAAGAGAAAAAAGATAAAGATTTTAATAAAAAACCTTCTTCGGATGTCAGAATGTTCAGTGAGGAAAGCCATGCAGGTTTTAGGTCATCTGACCTCTACAATCCCGGCAGTAAAATGGGCCAGAGCAGAATCAAGGCCCTTACAGTGAGAAATCCTTGTCCAATGGTCAAAGAATGAAGAAGACTTGGAGGCATTAATCAGTATATCAGATCATAAAAAAGAAAAAATTTCTTGGTGGCTAGAGGAAAAATTCATTACAGAAGGCCTGTCTTTTCGTCAAAAATCTTGGATTGTGATTTCTACAGACGCTTCAAATACAGGTTGGGGAGCTCAACAAGACAAGGTGTTTGGTCGAAAAAGGAAACAAAGGAATCTTCAAATTTCAAGGAGTTGTTAGCAGTACTCTACCCTCTTCAGCAGTTCAAGGATTTCATTGTAGGGAAAGCTGTAAAAATCCAGTCGGACAATCAGACTACAGTCTCCTACCTGAACAAACAAGCAGTACAAGAGTAAAAAAATTGAATTTCCTTTGCTCACGGATTATGTCCTGGGCTCAAAGTCATCTGGATGACATTTCAGCCATTCACATTCCAGGAGTAGACAATGTGGTAGTGGACAATTTAAGCAGATCAGAATGGTTCCAGAATGAGCGGTCTCTCAATCAAGAAATTTTCGCTCATCTGGTGAAGAGATTCGGTCTTCCAGTCATAGACCTTATGGCAAGAAGATCAAATGCAAAAGTAAGATCGTTTGCCTTCCTCTTCAAGGTAGACAGGCCGCTGGTAATGGATTGTCTTTCAATCTGGTGGAAGTTTCCTCCGGCTTACATTTTTCCCTTAGTAAGCCTTGTCCCAAGGATTCTGCAAAAGGTAACATCAGATCAAGCTCATATTCTGGCCATAATACCGTACTGGCCAAACCACAGCTGGTTCTCGGTTTTAAAGAAAGAAAATGGCTTTAAAGTACTGGATTCTCCCGGTAACATGTTCAGGTTCACAGCTTGGCTGCTGCACGGCTAATTCTGCATAATAGGGGCATTAAAGAAGAGAGGTTTCAGTTACTGTTAAATTCTACCAGGAGCTCTACCTCTTCTATCTACTTAAAGATTTGGACAAGATTTATTCACTGGTGCATATCTCATCGTTGCATAGGATCCTCTCCTACTACTGATACTATCCTTCATTTTTTACAAGAGGGTCTTGCTCAAGGTTTTAGTCTGTCTACCCTCAAAGTCCAAGTTTCCGCTCTCAGTCATTTTTTGGTAAAAAATTGGGCTTCTGATCCTCTCATTAGGAGATTTTTAAAGCTGTAAGACTCGTAAAGCCTACTAAGAAAATCTGTTTTCCCTCTTGGGATTTGTCTTTAGTTTTGAAATCTCTGTGTACTCAGCCTTTCAACCTTTGGAAGAAGCTTCATTGAAGAATCTGTCCCTGAAGACCGTGTTTTTGGTGGCCATTACTTCGGCTAAGAGGATAGGGGAACTCCAGGCCCTTTCTTCCTCTCCTGACTTTACGAAATTTCTTCTGGATAAAGTGGTTATGTACCCTAAGCCTCCCTTTCTTCCGAAAGTCATCTCCTCCGAGGTTATCAACCAACCTATTTTTTTTCCTTCCTTTAATGGTCCATCTATACCAGATTGGGAATTTGATTGGAGCCAACTAGATGTTGGTAGGTCTCTGAAAATCTACTTGGACCGCTCCTCTGCATATAGGATGACTGATCATCTATTCGTGAATTTCTTTGGAAAATTTAAAGGCCAAGTTGCCTCCAAGGCCACTTTCGCGGGATTGCTGGTGGATACTATAAAATTGGCTTATTCTA